GACCTTGGTTCAAAGCCCCTTGAAAGAAATAACAGTCCTTCTGCTGACATTACTAATCTTTGGATCAGGCTCATTAATGTATTGCAGATATTATATCCCCAGCTGCCAAAAAGCTGAAAAAAAAGGGGAATGTAGTCATAAAAATAGACATCAAATACATTTCTCTTCTGGGAATTAATATAGAAGCGAAATATTGCTGCTACTACTACTCTCCGGGGCTTTATTGCAGATATTTCTTTACTGTTTTTAAAGGAATTAACAGGGCAAGCAGTTCATCTCATCCAGAACTCTGCCTCCAGCAAGGGCTGGTGTCTAATGCCACAAAGCCCGGCAAGGCTTGGATTGCTGCAATAGTTTTCACTCCGGCGCTGTAAATCGGTCCTTTTTGGGATGTGCTGTGCTGATGGAGAGGAGGAAGTGTGGGAGGAAAAATAGACATATTCAGGCAAGACTTTCCCCATCTTTGGCCTCTCTTGGCTTAATTACAGATCGATACTTAGAACTCGCCGGCTTTCATACCTCATTAACATCACACGGTGCCAGGGTGTAAATTTATTACACAGCTTGCCAAGAATCTGGGGTGTCTGTACGCAAACGTTCACTCGGGGCTATAAATGAGACACAACTGAGCCGACCAGTTTGAACTCTGGGTGGACAAATAATGCTCGGGATCTTTACCTGCGGCTCTCCAAGTGCCGTACAAACCCATGTGTGCTTGTGGGCATGTGCATGTTCGTGTCAGAGAGGGAGAGGGCGAGGAGAGGGATGGTGAGTGCCGCTCCTCTGTGCGGCTGAGAAGGCGGCACAATCCGGAACCAGGCGCTTATATTTTTTTAGCTCTCGGGATCATTCTCAGGTCGCCCACCTGCCTTCCCACAGAGACGGCGTTAGTAAGGGAATAATAACGTGAGAACGCCTCGGCAGCCCCCAGCCCTGGCTCTGGGGAGCCCCGTTCTGTCTCTTTAAGGATCCCAGCGAGTCGTGATGCTGCTGTTTGTATTGCCGAATCCCCAGGAGTGCAGTTAAGAAACGGGCAGCTGTCTCTTTAAGTGTGATTTCCTTCTATTGTATTTGAATCGTGATCAGGAAAAAGGAAATGAAACCAGAGAGCCGGGGCTGAGCCACGGAGTAATAATAATCCCGGGGATGCGGCTGCCGCCGCTCGCAGCGCTGCCGCCCGGGCGCGGAGCGTGTGCGGAGCTGCCCGCGCGGAGCCGCTGAGCGCCGGGCGCGGAGCCGCGG